TCCATCTCATCCCAAACGTGACTGTCCAGCAAATGGGGGAAAATGTCATTTATGTGGGAAAAAAGGACACTTCAAGAGGGTGTGCAGAACACTCAACACTGTACATGCAGTTGAGGAAGAGGATGATTTTTTGTTTTAGGCATTTCAAATGGAGATGAACCTTGGAGGGTGGATGTTGAAATAAATAACAGAAACATCTCATTCAAGATTGACACTGGTGCTGATGTTACGGTTCTGCCATACTCCATGTACAAAGACATCTACAGAGACAAGAGTCCCTCTTTACTGAAAAAAGCCACCAGGCAGCTGCTGGGACCAGGGAGGAATGCTCTAGATATTGTGGGGGTTGCTGAGATGGTGATGAAAAAGGGAGAGAAAGAGGTACAGGAAAGTGTGTACATTATGAGACACCTGCAACTGCACTTTTGGGTAGACCTGCCATTCAGAAGCTGGAGCTTCTAGCTAGATTAAATGAGATAACTGCTGAAACATTAAAACTACCTATCCAAAGCTATGCAGTGGTTTGGCAGAGGTGAGACAGCCTTATGTTATCAAACTGAAACCAGGGGCTCAACCATTTTCACTAAAGACACCCAGAAGGATTCCACTTCCTTTGATGGACAAAGTTAAACAAGAACTGTCCCGTATGGAAAGTTTGGGTGTGATCAGCAGAATTGAGGAGCCAACTGAATGGTGTTCAGGAATGGTGGGTTGTTCCCAAAAAGACAGGTGCTGTACGCATATGTGTTGACCTCACAAAGTTGAACGAGTCTGTTTGCAGAGAGAAGTACATTCTTCCTTCTGTAGATGAAACACTCGGTAAGCTAGCAGGAGCAAATATTTTCAGTAAATTAGATGCTAATATGGGTTCTGGCAGATTCCTTTAACTGAAGATACTGCAAAATACAACTTTCATTACACCTTTTGGTCGTTTATTATTTTAAATGGCTACCCTTTGGTATAGCTTCTGCCCCTGAGCATTTCCAGAACAGAATGGTAACAGAGGTTACAGAGGGACTAGATGGTGTGGTTTGCCATATGGATGATGTGTTAGTGTGGGGAGAACACAGGAAGAGCATAATGTTCGTCTGCATACTGTTCTTGGAAAAATTCAAGAAGCTGGTATTACACTGAACATTGATAAATGTGATCTTTCAAAGCAGAGTGTAAAATTTTTGGGCCACATTATCTCTGCTAATGGAGTTAGTCCTGATCCAAGTAAAACACAAGCTGTGAGAAAGATGAAAGAGCCACAAAATGTGAGTGAGCTAAGAAGCTTCCTTGGAATGGTTAACCAGCTGGGGAAGTTTATTCCACAGTTAGCAGAACGAGACAAGCCTTTGAGGGATCTTTTATGGAAGAAAAACTGTTGGATGTGGGGAGTTGATCAGGCCAAAGCATTTAAAGAACTGAAAGAGATGCTTTCATCCCCCCCAGTGCTATGCATGTACGATACTAACCGGGAATGTAAAGTTTCAGCAGATGCGTCTGCGTATGGTCTGGGGAGCGTACTGCTGCAAAAATGGGGTCAGGAATGGAGACCAGTTGCATACGTGTCGCGATCTCTAACAGACTGAGCAGAGATACGCACAGGTGGAAAAAGAAGCTTTGAGTCTTACTTGGGCTTGTGAAAGGTTCAGTAATTATCTCATTGGCAAACATTTCCAAATGGAGACTGATCATAAACCACTTCTGAGTCTGTTGAGCTGTCAGATGTTAGATGCTCTTCCGCCACGTATTCAGCGTTTCAGAATGCGTCTCATGAGATATTCCTATTCCATCTCGTATGTGCCAGGGAAACTCTGTGGACAGCTGACACATTGTCACGTGCCCCTATGTCAGAAAACTTAACGGCAACTGAAACAAGTTGGTAGAAGACTCAGATATTTTTGTGGATAGTGTGCAAAACCTGCCTACAAGTCCTGGTTATCTGGAAGAACTGAGACAGGAGTTGAAAAGGGACAGCATATGTGCACGTGTGATGCAGTTTGTGTGAGGAAGGATGGCCTACACACTACAACAGTGAACCAGCACTCAGACTGTATTGGGCTGAAAAGGCATTTCTTACAGTGAATAATGGTCTTTTGTTAAAAGGAGAAAGACTGGTTATTCCTTCAACTATAAGAAATGATGTGCTCATGAAATTACATGAAGGACATCAGGGAGTAGTGAATGTCGAGAACGAGCACGGCAGTCGGTGTGGTGGCCTGGACTGAGCAGATAAAAAAGAACTGGTTCTAAAATGCCACACCTGCAACAGAGAGAAGGAAAATCATACGGAGCCACTGATGCCATCACAGTATCCAGACAGACCATGGAAAAAACTCGGGGCTGATCTGTTTACTTTGAAGGACAAAATTATATTTTGGTTGTGGATTATGCATCAAGATTTGTGGAAATTGCACAACTGAGTCCCACAGGATCAGCAGATGTGATTCCTCATTTGAAATCTGTGTTTGCACGTCATGGCATTCCAGAAGAAATGATCACGGACAATGGTCCTCAGTTTTCCTGTGCTGCTTTTGCTACATTTGCAAAGTCATATGGGTTTCACCATATTACAAGTAGCCCTAAATATCCACAAAGTAATGGAGAAGCTGAACGAGCTGTGAAAATAATAAGAACTTGTTGAAGAAAGCAGCTGATCCATACCTCGCCTTACTCGCCTACAGAGCAACACCACTTTGGAATGGGTACAGTCCAGCAGAGCTTCTTATGGGAAGACGACTTCGGACGACGGTGCCAATACTTCCATCTTTGTTGAGGCCGGCTCTTCCAAACTGTAAGATTGTTGCTCAAAAAGAAAAGGAGAGAAGAATAAAAGATGCAGAGAGATATGATTCCCGCCACAGAGCAAGAGTTCTCAGCAAACTTACTCCAGGACAAGGTGTGTGGATTAAAGATCAAGGTACGAGTGGAACAGTGGTTACCAGTCATTCTACTCCACGCTCATACATTGTGGAAGGACCTCAGGGGTCGATTAGGCGAAATCGTCGTCATCTGGTTGGCATGGAGCCTTCGACGGAGCCAGAAGTACCGGAAGGTGATGTTGCTGCAGAACAAGTACAACCGAGTTCTGAAGAACCTCCACAGCAGAGCCTTCCTGAACTTTCACCCACTCCTAGAACCAGGTTTGGGAGACGGGTTGTGAAACCAGATAGACTGAATTTGTAGAAAAAGAAAATATGCTAGAAGTTGAGAATGATTAAATATGTATTTCTATTTATATATTTTTTTCCTAGCTCTAGGTAGGAACAGACCTTCCAGCCACAGAGGCAGAATAATCCTCTAAGGTCTGTTGAATCAATGGTAGTCCACCCATTGATTCTAGAGAGGAGAGATGTGGTGTTAATGTTATGCATGTTTAAAAACTACAAATGGCCGCCTGCGATTACATCATAAAAGGGAGCGTCAGGCTCAGGCAGGCAGGTGATGCTGATTGTGTGATGAGGCCTATGCATGATGTTTGGAGGATCGGAGAATAAAAAGCGTTATCGATGACACAGTTGGACTCATGCACTCTTTTCTTTAAATAGCAGACCATTGGGTCTGTTATTTCTTCTCGATAATCTGGGTGTAATGCTGATATAACATTCTGTATGCATTGAATTCTCTGGATAAAACTATAGATGCATCTGAAGTCTGATGTTGAATGGTTGTTTCTTTATTATTTCCCCTGCACATGCGGAGTCCCTGGATCTGGGAAACAGAGGAAGATTAGCGAGCAAAGTGAAGTTATTCCTCTAAGTTTTAACACTATACTGCATGTTTTGGATTTAATGACTTAATGAGGTTCGTCCCAGCGCCGCAGATCGCGCCCGAAAGCCTGGACCGGAGCCTGGACCGGAGTTTGCACCTCGGAAACGCCGCCCGGTGCAGAAGGAGACGCCAGGAAGCCACCGGGGGGAAAAGGGACGCTCCCGGTGAGATCTGGACTTTATTATCTTTGGGGGGTTTGGGTGGTACCACTCTTCTTTTTCTCATCTTTTTTTTTTTTTTTTTGACGTTTTGGATTTTTCTTTCGGGATTGAAGACGGGGATTAATACGGAGCGACGCTTCCAGGACGTTGTTCGATTTGGAGTTTATGGGACTCTTTTATGGACAAAAATGTAAAAAAGGAACAGGACTATCTGGACTTTCTATTTTTTAAGTGGGATTGATGGATCAGCCCGAACAAGGCGAATCAGACCCTTGATTATTTTGGTGGGTTTTGGATAATGATTTAGGTTTATTAAATATTCAATTTCGGGTTTCATAATAAATCATTTCTGGTAAAAACCTAATAATTTGTATTGAGTGGTTGAACATTAACCCGGTAACACTTATACCCTATTTACCTGAGACAAGATCCCCCTTGTGTGTTTTTTTGTGAGTTCTGCTTTAATCAAGCCGAATATTAACTAAGAGGATCTGAAGCAACCAATCCAAGTCGAGGCTTTTGACTTTTTGGACATCGATCTTCACTGAGGACATGGTTTGGTTTCTGGGTTCGGTTCTGTTTCTGTTGTGGTTCAGTTCAATAGTTTGTTTTGTGTCAGATAAAAATTAAAAGTTTGATTCAAATATAACAGAAGTAAGAAAGCCTGCTAACACAACAAATGCATAAAATTAGACAAATATCAAAATGATTATAGAGACTCAATGCAAAATGATTTATCAAAACAGAACATTTGGATTCATCTCATTAAGATGAAATATGAGGCTATTAACCATAAATTAGAGACCCTTTCATCAACCAGCATCACTAAGTGGCAGAAACAATTAATATAGTTTAACTTGAAGAAAAATATCAATTCAATTCAAACAATCTGTGTTTTGAAGTTTGAGAGAAATCAGCAGATCTGACTGGTTTGATCTTTTCTCCATCCAGGCCTCCAGGCAGAAACGTTTCAATAAACCTTTAATAAAAACTACTTCATATTGTCAGGAAGAATAAACTGTAAATCCACTAAATATCAAAATTAAATACAAATCAAATAGAGGAAAACAATCAAAAACATCATTCATAACAATTTTATTTTTCATTAAAAATCATCCACCAACAAGTACATTAAATCAAAAACAACATAAATTAAATGCATATAAAAAAAAAAGTCCTGGAAATATTTCCAACCCAAACAAAACAAACCATAAAATGTTCCTGATCTACAGTTTAGATCTGTTGTTTGTTGTTGATGATGGATCAGGTTGTAATTAATAAAACATCATTTCATCCTGAAATGTTAAAAAATCCAGACAAGATAATCAACTTATGGAAAAATCTTCTAATAAATCATCTTTACATTTAAATATCCTCTGAGCTGCTCAGCAGATCCGTCCTGTTGGTCCATAAAGATGTAAAGTTATTGTAGCTGCTTTTTTTCAACACTACAGAAAATACTGGAAAATATGTAGTTTGAGCCCATATTTTATTTAAATTAAATGTTTATTTCTAATCTCCAATATTTCATTCTGTCACAAAATGATTAATCCAGTAAAGTTAAAATAACAATGACAATGAAAATAATGAAATAAACGACACTAAAATGTAAAAAGGGGCAAAATAATAAAAGTGAAGCACCAATAACTAAGGAAATATTACAGATTAGTATTAATATGCATTTTCAGAAACAAATGATTGGCTGAGCGCTTTGCATTCTGGGAGTTTATTTTGTTTTCTTTTTCTTTATTTTAACACTAATCAGATTCAGATAAACTTTATTAGTCAAACAGGAGATTTTATTTTGGTTTCTGTTGACCAGGTAACATCTCCTTGGTGTAGCATTTGCCTTCATTCTCCATCATGTTGATCTTTTTGATCAGATCAGTAACTTGTGATCGATTCTTTATTTGATGGTTATTGAACACATGGTATCTTCCTCCACACTCTCTGATCAGATTCTTACAGGCATCTTCACAATCATCTTCAATGTATTGTTCAATGGAGATCTCATCATATTCCAGTATATCTCCTCTGGTAAACAGGACGATGGTAAACTTCTTATAATTTTCTCCCAAAACTTCCTGAATCAGTTTCAGTGTCTCAGTGTCTTCTATAGAAAATCTGCCGATCGGTAAAACCTGCAGGAAGACATGAGGACCTGGATGCACCAGACTGATACATTTCCTTATCTCTTCATTAACCTGACTCAAGGACAAGCTGGTGTCAAACAGACCAGGAGTGTCAACAACATCAACATGGCGACCGTCTATCACACATTCAGCTTTCTCACAGCTTCTAGTAACTGACTGTGGAAAAACTCCAGATTTAAACAGTTTTCTTCCCAGGATGGTGTTTCCTGATGAACTCTTCCCACTGCCAGTTTTCCCAATCAGAACGATCCGGAGACAATCTGGATTATCTGGGAAATTACAGAATAAATAATAACTATGAGATGAAAGATGATAAATTCACAGATCACTTTAACCCAGAGTTCATTTTATAAAGTGTTATAATTGTGTATTTATGAATTCATGTTATGTTTCTAATGTTATATTAAGTGTGTATAACTGGGTTTGTAGTAAATGATGTGTTATGATGTGAATCCCAGGAACAATGTTATGGCAACATGTAATATGGATCCTAATAATCAAACAGCTGAATCTCTTCCTGCAGTGCATCAGGTTCTCCTGCTCATCACCTCATTATGTAACTCAGGTTCTGGACCAGAGATTGATCTAAAGCTGCAGGTCAGCGGTTCTCCAGGACTCGTACTACCCACCTTGGCTCAGGTCCATTCACACCAGTCCTGTTCTTAGAGGAACTCCAGTTGGTTTCTCTACAAAGTTTGTTTGTGAGAATGCACATTGAACTCTAATGTGGACCAAAAACAGCAAACTGTCTACCAACCTGTCTGTTGCTGTAGTTTATCTTCCATTTGGCCCCAAAATAATGTTTCAGTCGTAAAAGATGAATCATTTTTCTCCAGCGTCTCCATCAGTTCTGGGATCTGCCGTCTGTCTCTGATGTCCAGAACTAAATATCTTCCTCCACAGATCTGGAGGAGATCCTGGATGTGTCTGTTCTCCTTTATAAAGTTCCCAACAGCTGGATGTTTAGGGTCTGACTCCACAGTGAAGAGGATGGTGGTGAAGTCATTGACTCTGGAGCTGAATGTGTCCTGGATGGTGTGTAACTCTCCCTTGTCTTCATCAGTGAGGGGACCCACAGGCAGGACCAGGATGAAGGCGTGGACACCCTCAGGATCACAGAGGGAGACACACCTGAAGGATTCCTCCATCACTTCCTGCTGAGCTTTTCCATCCAAGGCAGGCAGCTGCACCAGAGAAACCCCACGTCCAAACACCTCTCCCTGCTTCCTGAGCCTCTCTGGAGGAAGATCTGGCTGACCTAGGATGACCTTGGCTGCTGCCGTCTTCAGTGGATCATTTGGACCAAACAGAACCAGGTTCAGAGGTTTGCGTTTCTCAGCCACAGTTAAACCTTCATCCTTCTGCTCAGACACTGGAAATAAAATACAACTATTAAAACAGTTGAAAACATTCAGATCATAGAGATAGAAAACTTTTTATGTATTGATCCAGTAATATTTATGATCTTTGATCCAAAAGTTTATATAAATTCAAACTTCAGGCTTGTAGAAAAAAGATTAAGAGAATTTGATCCAAATAAAAAGTTGAGATGTTTGTTTCATCAGATTCTGGTTCAATAATTCTGCATCTTCTCAACAAAGACATGAATTCTTATTGTGGGATTTCAGGACTTTAATATGAATCATGTTGATTTTATTCCTATCAGTAAATCAGTCAGTAGTTAAACTCACTGGAAGGAGGAATCAGTTCCAGGCTGTTGCTGCGTTTCACAGGCTGCAGATCTGAAAGGACAAAAAGTGAAGAAAATAAAATCAGTTCTAAAATTCTCCAGAGAAACCAAGAACTGAACTCCTGATCTGGATCAGAACCAGTTTCAATAACTGATCCAAACCCAAAGTGGAGAGAAATAAAGTAAAAGCAGGAAACATTGATGTGAAAACAAGACAGAATGAAACGTTTGTTTCTGATCAAACTGTCATGGAGATCAATTCATTTCTCCGACCAGAGGAGGACCGGTCCAAAGGTCCGGTTCTGAAGCCAGAATGAAGCTGAACAAGTTAATGAAGATCAGAGACAATAATTCATGTCTCTGATCATTTAAAACACAAAGTAACAAAAATCCTTTAAAAACTGAATATTTTATGACAATATGGAAACTTTACAATATTTTCATTCATCGAATTTCTGGAGAAAATAAAAACAAGAAAGAAAAATGTTTCTGTATGAACCAGATAAACAATAATCAATATTTAGATTTAATCAATAAACAATAATCAATATTTAGATTTAATCAATTAACAATAATCAATATTTAGATTTAATCAATAAACAATAATCCATATTTAGATTTAATCAATTAACAATAATCAATATTTAGATTTAATTAATGAACAATAATCAATATTTAGATTTAATCAATGAACAATAATCAATATTTAGATTTAATCAATGAACAATAATCAATATTTAGATTTAATCAATAAACAATAATCAATATTTAGATTTAATTAATGAACAATAATCAATATTTAGATTTAATTAATAAACAATAATCAATATTTAGATTTAATTAATAAACAATAATCAATATTTAGATTTAATCAATAAACAATAATCAATATTTAGATTTAATCAATAAACAATAATCAATATTTAGATTTAATCAATTAACAATAATCAATATTTAGATTTAATTAATGAACAATAATCAATATTTAGATTTAATTAATGAACAATAATCAATATTTAGATTTAATTAATAAACAATAATCAATATTTAGATTTAATCAATAAACAATAATCAATATTTAGATTTAATCAAATGATTCAAGAGGTTTAACTAAACTCACCAGGTTCTGCAGCAGCCATGATGTCTCTGGGTCTCACTGGACCAGAACCAGAACCAGAACCAGAACCTGGATCAGAACCAGAACCAGAACCAGAACCAGAACCTGGATCAGAACCAGAACCTGAACCAGAACCTGGACCAGAACCAGAACCTGGACCAGAACCTGGACCAGAACCAGAACCTGGACCAGAACCAGAACCTCAGGTTGCTGTAACATATCAGAGGTAAAATCAGTTTAAAGTTTAAAGTTTGTACAGTTTGACTCTCAGAAACATTGTTTATCTTCACTGAGGCTGAAATTAATGCATTTCTGTAAAAACATCAATAATTATTCATAACTTTCTCAATAATCAATAGAAAATCATTTTGCTATCAAAACGTTTCTCATGTTTTTATCTTTGGTGATGAGCTGCAGGTTGGAGGACTTTAACTAGGCCGATCCAAAATATCAGTATTATTATCAGTCAGCAGAAACATTAAAATATAATTTAACTGAATCCTAAATCTGCCAGAGAAAAACTGTAAATTATAGTAATTAAAAATAGAAATGTTCACAGTCTGGATGGAAATAACGTTTATAGATGATTATAATGATGGATTTATTTCTGTTGGATCAGATTTGATCAGATTTATTGTGTCTTCAGTCTGACTGGAACATTTACCAACGACACAGAGACCAGTTTAGTTTCCACTGAGTGACTGGGAGCAGAAATCCAGTCCAACCAGTTGTTCCACAGCGTTCTGCTGGGAGGAACCAGTTGCCTCAGAAAGACTGAATGTTCAGAGATGAAGATTAAATGTCAGTTGGCTCAGAAAGCAGATCAACAGGAAGTTTAAGGAAGAGAAAAACAAGCAGAGCTTCAAGTTCATGAGAAACTAAAAAAGCTTCAAATCATCTGAGAACAAAATAAATGGAGAAAATCAGTTTGACCTGATCAGATTCTGGATGAATCCAGTTCAGGTGACATTCAGGTAAAACAGCATCATCAGGTAAAAACTAGAGTTTGATCAAATCACTGCTACTGGCTCTTTTCCTAAAGCTTCTCTGGGAATAAAACTCCAAGCTCTGGTTAGGAATCCATAAAACCGCCTGAAAGGAAGAAAACTATCTTCCACATAATCAGCATTCAAACCCAGAAAGACAAAAATTTCATCAGCATCTAAATTTAAACCAGAAAATCGACAAAGAAAAGAATAATCAGTAAAAAAGCAACAGAGCTGAAAACGTCTGTGTTGTTTTTCTAGAGCTGCGAATATCAGAGTGACTCTCATCACTAGAAACTATTTTCATAAAGGCCGTGACCTTTGACATGACAATTTACCTAAAATACACAGAAATAAAATGAGGTCATCATTTCAACAGCTTCTTGTTCACAGGAACCGTTTACATTTTAAGAAACATTTTTTCTGACTCACCTGTTGATGTTTGACTTTGACCTCAGGAATAAAGTTACAAACTCATCTGGACTATGAAATGATCTTGAAACATAAGCGCAGCTGAATAAATCCTCCTCCTCCTGCAGCAGCTTGTTGTCTCTGAGTCTCTGCTGCTCTGCTGAAGTTGGACTGCAGGATGTTCCAGTGAAATTCCTGCACTGGCTGCTGCTGCCATGTTCTTCCTCATTCCTGCAGAAAACGCTGAGAAAAGCTGCAGGCCTCAAACTGAAAGGCTCACATGTGACACATGGGAAGCTTTGCATTAAAACTCCAGTTTATTCAACTCTTAAAGGTTTAATTAAATGAATAAAAGTTTATGTTTCATAAACTCATATTGGGTTCAGTGTTAATAAATGTTGCATTTATTGAACTTAAGGAGTAAAAGACAGTAGAAGCAACTAAATGTGTCTCAGTCAGCAGGGGGTCGTGGGCCGTTGATCACCTCTGTTATTCGCTTTGAATGTCAGGAACTTGTTCAATTGAAATGACAGTTCAGTCAGTGGGTTCAGTGGGTTAACCTCAACCCTGACCCTAACCCTGACCTCTAACCCTAATCCTACCCCAGGATGTTTCTGGGTTTCTACATCAGACCTTCACTGCTGTCTGGATGATTGTTTGATATGAAATGTTTTGGTAGAGATTTGGAGGAAAATAATCAGAAAATATGTTGAAAGCTGTCAGTGGAACATGCAGAGCATCTAGATGGAGGAATGAACTTTATTCCTTTTCTGAAAAATGTGAAGAAACTCCTGCAGCATCACGAATACAGAGATGGATGATATTAAAACACATGAAGGTTTTATCATCATTACGTCATCAGTGTGAAGCATCACAGACACGGTAAAACGTTCTGAGTCAGGATCCAAACTCAGTTCATCTTTAGCTGACAGAAAAAACTCCAAGTAAACTCCAGGACTCACAGACTCACTACGAACAAGATGCTCTGACACAATAGATCTGATTTTATCCCAAATGTTAATAGTAAAGAGGGTTAGATAATAAAAAACAATCTTTAATGATTATTTTCTGTTTTAATTAAAGGAAAATCTCAAGGTTCACACAGAGCTGCAGCTGCGGAGCTCAGATACTGAAATAAAATCCAGAATATGAACAATATGCCGAGGATAGATGTGACAAGAATCACGACTGGTCAAATATTTGGAACATTAAAGATGATAATACTAAGATAGTATCAAATATCCTCCATCACTGCCAGCTTACAGCAGCAGGACAACATAATGGTTCCAGAGGATCATCATCTGGATGCTGAGGCTCTGGAACCAAAAGGCAGAACAGATTTTATTGGCTGCATGTTGGATTGTCTGAGTGGGACAGAAAAGCAGCCGGATGCCGACAACATTCTGGCATTAAAACAAAATGAAAAACACCATGAATGAACTTTGATGTTCTTGTTATTTAACAGACAGAAACTGATTTCAACAGAGACTGAAAACCATCAATATCCATCAATATTTATAGCAACTGATTGCTGATTGGCTGTTGGAAGAGAAAAAAACTGATTCATCAATTAATGTTCCACCTGATCCAAAACCATCTGCTGTAAAGCTTGGTGAGCCTTTGGTCTGGACCGCAAACAGACATGGACCCGATGGGGCTGGAAGGACCCGATGGGCCCATTAGAAATGGTGACAGATACAGAAATGTCCTTTCATTTTCAGGCAGAATCGGTTCAGACCTGGACCGGATCAGATCCAAGCCTTTTGTCAGCTGTCAGACCGGTTCCTGGTCCCAACCCGACCCGAAGCTGCTGCAGTGTGGAAACCTTTGGGTGACGATTGTGAAGAGGTTTTATTCGTATTAAATGATGTTCCTTTATGTATCATATAAATGTAATATTTTTTGAATCACAGTCAAGGTGTTTTTCTGTGCAGCTGGAAATGGTGTACAAACTAATGTACCAAGATGTGTCTACTGAAGTAAGTTTCCCAGAGTTGCTGAACTTCCCCAGACAGTTATTTGGGAACTTGCTGTTTTTCCCGTGGCCTTCCCTGCATGGGGATAGAGTGTTTAGTTTTCACCTCCCATAGACATTACATTATATTACATACAAGGTTTCGTATGTTTTCCTTTGTTTCTTTTGTTTGGTCTTCAAAGATTGAGTCTCCGCCTCGGTAGTAGAGAGAGATGAATAAAGTAACTATGCAACTCTGGGTTCCTCAGAGCGGATCCTAATTTGTGCCTAATGCAGTGGATTTCTTGCTCTCCGTCTGCAGATGTATTAAAGATTGTTTTTGCTCCCTAACTTTTGTCTGGATCTCAGTCTCTGAATTGTGCACTTCACAATTTGGTGCGATGGCCGGGAACCTTCGCTGGTTCATCCAAGTCGGTGGACCTCAGGAGAGGGCTGATCACCAAACCTTCAAACTGGTTTTCCTCCAAACCGCTGGCAGGTCTGTCTGAGAAAAAGAGGACTCTTCTGGTGCTCCACCGGGTTGGATCAGCCACGACAGGATAAAAACAGAGCTGAGAGGGGCTGCAAAACATCTTAAGGTTTGTAGGTCTATTTATTTAGACTGAGTTGTAGGTCTGTCAATTTTAGACTGAGTTCACCTAGGTCTATTAATTTAGACTGATTTCTGTAGGTCTATTAATTTAGACTGAGTTGTAGGTCTATCAAATTAGACTGAGAATTGAAGTCAACGTTTCAAATAAACGTTTTAAATTGTAAGAGGTTTGTAAAATTAGAGAATGGGACTTTTCTCTTCTAAAGAGCCTAGTGATGGATTTAGTAATTATGTTCCTCTTGGGCCGATTGTAGAAGAGATGATTAGAAAACATGGGGAATCATGTGTTCAGTATTTGCCACAATGGCATCTTCAGCCTTCTGTGTCTCTTCTGGGTCATGTGATTTCCTCCGAAGGCAGAGCTATCTCCAGCAACCGCATTGAAGCGATTGTGAACATACCTCTCCCTCAAACGAAGAAACAACTGATGTCCTTTTTAGGACTCTGTGGCTATTGTAGGCATTTCATACCGGTTATGCTGAGATTGAGAAACCTCTGAGAGAAGTATGTCATGACAAGGGATTTGGATTATTAATGAGCTCACACATTTTACATAGGATTGAAGTGAAATGTGAATTGAAGTTGGGTTGACGTCATTCAAAGCGCTGAAAAAACACCTGCAGACACTCAAACTCTGGGATTTTTCCCGATCTTTCCTGAATGTTTTATAGAGATGGTTAGATGAGAAGAGGGATTTTTGTTTTGCTCCAAAAACATGGTGATAAATTGAAATTGGTCACCTATTTTCCAAATTAGATTCTGTAGCAGCTGCATCGCTACAAAGTTTGCGCGCAGTGGCAAGTGCAGAAAGGGCTGTTATGGCATCTCCAGACATCGTGGTATTCTAATCTGATTTTGTACGCTTCCTACGATGTCACACTAATTTTGAGCACCTATCTACTGTCAGATAGGCTGCATTATATACGCGTTGGTATAGCATATATCATTTCATTTAATTCCTATACATTTCTTAGACAGAGGTAATTCCTATACAGCTGTGATAAATTTGAACTTAGACAGATTAAAATACCTTTAGTTGTCCAGGGACTATTAGTTATAACAAAACTGTTTTTTTAATTAATGAAGTGCTTCAGCAGAAACATGATAAATTATGTGCTGTAATTCTAAATTATATTGAGATCTCTTCTGTATGTGTACACAAAGCTGAATTTTAAAACAGGATCCTGTACATTAGAGTTGAATTTAAACATTGATATATGTTGTTAAAAGTACTTTTCTCTATTTGAAGCTTCATGTAAATTTGGCCATTTCAATTTAAGAAAATATGTATATGAAATGAGCACTGACTGTAAATATTTGACTGTAATGCAAAACTGACTGACTGACTGACTTCTGATGGCGTCCAACGTTTGTTTGTGTCTGTTTCATGTTGGAGTGAACGTTTGTTTACATGTAATGTTTGTTTACATGTAATGTTTGTTTACATGTAATGTTTGTTTACATGTAATGTTTGTTTACATGTAATGTTTGTCTACATGTAATGTTTGTTTACATGTTCTGTGTTTAATAAACATTGAACTAATATGCGCATGCGAAGAAGATAAAAACACAATCTTGTTTGCAGGATTTCTCAAACACCGGAATGGGACCGCTGATGAAACCTGGAATTGTTTTAATAACATGTAATGACAACATGATTAACTACTGAATTTCTCTAACAGATCAATTAAAGACGACAGGCCCAAGGAGGATGACTTGGGCCAGCGAGCAAACCATTACATAATGTCCAGCCTGGAGATTTTTTGTTTACTAAAAATTTCAGGAGGAAGAACCGGCGTTCCCACAGCTGGCTGAACCGTTTCAAGTGCTTTTGACGACACACACCACTCTTAAGGTCACGGAGGGGTCGACCTGGGTTCACACCAGCCACTGTAAGAAGTTCACATCCTGCGGGACCAGTCCAGAGCCCAGAGAACGAGGCTCCACCAAGCACCTCTGAAAAAGTAGAGTTGCCAACACAGCTCACTCAGTAGGTTGGACCACGCCTAGCTGAGGCAGCATTAAGAACATGGATGGGCCGAGGCAGCGTCACAGAACACCGACGTGGATTAAGGATGCCATACTATGCTGATCACATGCATGCAGTTCCAGAAGGCCCAGCAGAACTCAACAGGAGCAGACGCTCTACCAACCGTGAGATACAATCGTGTGAACAAAAGCAGGCTTCAAAAGGGGCCTTCAGGTGTGTGTGCCCTTTGATTCTTCAGTTGGCCTCATGATTCCCTGGTCAGCCTTGAACACCAATACTGGATCAGGTAACGGACAGAACTACAAAAAATGTAAGTGGTACATGACGAATGAGGTTAGGATCACGTCTGCACTCGTAGCAGATGAGGGAAACATCTGGACGCCGAAATGGGGAACGACTCCCGACGCCAGACAACATATGAAACTTTTTACGATGGGTAAAACGACGCAAGAACTACACATCACGGTAAACACAGCGAAAGGTTCAATCATACCACCCTCATCTTTGCCCATATTGTCTAACTGTTGGAGGTTTTACCTATACTCATTCATCAGGAAAGGATCCACAATTTATTTTTGTTCTTTGTGAGGGGGGTGATGTTA